TGAGGCTGAGGCAGGCTGAGGCTGAGGCAGGCTGAGGCTGAGGCTGAGGCATGCTGAGGCTGAGGCTGTGACTGCGACTGCCGTTGCCACTGCGACTGTCATCGCGAATGCGACTACGACTGCGAGAACAGCAGAATTCTACAACTGGATTCTCATCCGAATCTTAAGGGGAATGCTTCCAGATATGCTCCTACACATCGATGTTAGGTTGCTTTGCCGGGATAATTTTTTTGTTGTCGAAGTGGGCCGAGGAGAGGTGGGCGGGCTGCCCGACTGGACCAAAATGGCCTGGAGGACGGCCAAGATCGCCCCAGGAGAGCGTCTGGAGGCCTCCAAAATCGAGTCAATGAGCTCCCGGAGAGGCCTCTGAGAGAGGCCGGCAGCGCCTTGAAGACGAACATTTCCAACGAGGTGTGTTCTGAAGAGAACATGATGGCCAAAGAGCGCTCATTCCGCAGCTGTGGCCCCCGGGCCGGAGGAATGAGCAGGCCGCGGGGAGGACCCCAGGAGGGGTTGCAAGGGCTCTGAGGAATGGGTATTGGTACGAGGAGTTCGTGTGCGCGCAGATTGAGGGGACTGAGTTCGTGCAGACCATGCGGCGGGGATCTCACACGCCGTTCCCGGTGGGGCGGCGGATCGCTTCGCTCATTCCGCTGGCCCATGATGAGGCACCGCGGTCGATTGGGCGAGAGATCGTCGGCAGTGCGGAGCTGCAGGGGTCGGCGCATGTTTGATTCAGGTGCTGCTGATGATGCTGCCGGTGCCGATCAAGCGTTGGCGGCAGAGCGCTTTCCTGAGCCAGGCTCTGAAATCAAATGTGATTTTGTTCCATGGCGCTGCCGCGCACATCCGCCAGGATCTTGCGTGGCATTGCGGAGGCTTTGGGCGGGGATTGCGGAGCTTCAGGGTGCGAGGTGGAGGAGGCGAGAAGGAGGAGGTGCCGTTTGGGAGGCCTTTTGGGATCGTTTGAGACGCCGTTCGGAGGCGCCTGGGAGCTTTCTGGGGCCTCCTGGGAGCCTCTTGGCGGCATCTTGGGCCTCTTGGGGGCCTCTCGGGGCGTCCTGGGGCCCTCTTGGGGCAGAAAGCTCAAGTTTTCGGTTCGTGGTCCCTCTCTTGGGCCCCTCTTGGGGCCGTCTTGGGGCTCTCTTGGGCCGTCTTGGTGCCTCTTGGGCCGTCTCGGGGCCTTCTTGGGCCGTCTTGGGGCCTTCTTGGAGGCCTCTTGGGCCGTCTTGGGGCGCTCTTGGGGGCCTCTTGGGCCGTCTTGGAGCGTCGGAAAGGCGAAAAGGCGAGGAAGCCAAACACCTTCAGAAACCTAATGGAAATCCCTGAGTTTTGCCTCTTGGGGCTTCGTTTTGGAGCCTTTTGGGGTGTCTTTCGGGCTTCTTGGCGCCTCTTGGGGCCTCTTGGGGGCCTCTTGGGGCGTCCTGGAGGCCTCTTGGAGCGGAAGGCTCGGATTTTCGGTTCGTGGTCTCCATCTTGGGCTCCTCTTGGGGCCCTCTTGGGCCGTCTTAGGCGCCTTTTGGGCTGTCTTGAAGCTCTCTTGGGCGGTCTTGGGGCTCTCTTGGGGGCCTCTTGGGCCGTCTTGGGGTGGTCTTGGGGGCTTCTTGGGGGCCTCTTGGGCCGTCTTGGAGTTTGGGAAACGCGAAACGGCGAGGAAGCCAAAAACCTTCAGAAACCTAATGGAAATCAGTGAGTTTTGCCTCTTGGGGCTCCGTTTTGGAGCCTTTTGGGGTCTCTTTCGGGCCTCTTGGCGCCTCTTGGGGCCTCTTGGGGCGTCCTGGAGGCCTCTTGGAGCGGAAGGCTCGGATTTTCGGTTCGTGGTCTCCATCTTGGGCCCCTCTTGAGGCCCTCTTGGGGCCCTCTTGGGCGCCTTTTGGGCTGTCTTGGGGCCCTCTTGAGCGGTCTTGGGGCTCTCTTGGGGGCCTCTTGGGCCGTCTTGGGGTGCTCTTGGGGGCCTCTTGAACCGTCTTGGAGCGTCGGAAAGGCGAGGAAGCCAAAAACCTTCAAAAACCTACGGAAAATCATTGATTTTTGCATCTTGGGGCTTTCTTTGGAAGGGTCGGGGCTCTCTTGGGACGTCTTGGAGGCCTCTTGGGCCGTCTTGACGCCGTGTTGGGCGTCTTGGGCCGATCGTTCGGTGATTCGGAGCCCTCTTGGACCGTCTTGGGGGCCTCTTTTGGCCCTCTTGGCGCGCTCCGGGGGGCGTGGAAGGCCGCACCCAGGAGGGGAACCATCTCTGAGTAATAGTTCCCGGGCTGCGGTCGGGGTACTTTTCGCCGGGGGACCCCCAAGGGCCGCCCCGCGCGCGCGAACCAGAAGTATTGTTAACCAGTTACCGGAGATCTTAGCACGCCTCTGGCCCGTTGGGCCGGCGAATTTGTGTGTCCTGGGGCCCCTTCAAGGCGTCTCGCCAACAAGGGGCTCCCAGTGGATCAGACAGCTGACTGTCTACCAGACCACCCCAACCCAACCCGAAGACCCGAATTTGACCCGAACTTCGGGTTGGGGGGGGGTACGGGTTCCATGTGTTTTTTCAACGTTCCCCGACCCCCCCCCACTGGAAATGGAGGGCAAATTGAGGCCTTCGGGTTGGGTTGGGGTGGTCTGGTAGGTGGTGAACAGCGGGGAGCCTTGCACAGCTTGCCGGCCCCCCCGTGTCGCAGCTGCCTCGGGGCGCGCCCGCCCTTCTCCGGTCGCGCCCGACTTCTCGCGGCCGCAGGCCGCCCCGCCCGCCCGCGCAGCCGGGCCGCTGGTCGACGCCAGGGGACGGCCGACTGGCCCCCTCCTCCTCCTCCTCCTCCTCCTCCTCCTCCTCCTCCTCCTCTCTCCTCCTCCTCCTCCTCCTCCTCCTCCGCCTCCTCCTCCGCCACCTCCTCCTCCTCCTCCTCCTCCTCTCTCCTCCTCTCTCCTCCTCTCATCCCCTCCTCTCTCCTCATCCTCCTCCTTCATCTCCGTCTACTCTCCTCCTCTCCTCCTCCTCCTCTCTCTCCTCCTCCTCCCCTCCTCCGCCTCCTTCCTCCTCCTCCTCCTCCTCCTCCTCCTCCTCCCTCCTCCTCCTCTCCTCCTACTCCTCCCCTCCTCCTCCTCCCTCTCCTCCTCCTCCTCCTCCTCCTCCTCCTCCTCCTCCTCCTCCTCCTCTCCTCCTCCTCCTCTCCTCTCCTCCCCTTTCCTCCTCCCTCCTCTCCTCTCCTCCTCCTCCTCCTCCTCCTCCTCCTCCTCCTCCTCTCTCCTCTGCTCCTCCTCCTCTCTCATCCTCCCCTCCTCCTCCTCCCTCCTCCTCCTCCTCCTCCTACCCCTCCTCCTCCTCCGCCTCCTCCTCCTCCTCCTCCTCCTCCTCCTCCTCCGGGTGCCGGGGGGGCTCTGGGTTCTTGCGCCCTGCTCTGCCGCGACGTCGTCGACGTCGCGGTCGTCATCGTCGCCCGAGCCAGGGCGCCGAGCAAGGTCGGCGCGGCGGGGGTCGGGCCCGCGGCCGCCGTCGCGGCCAGGCGACCGCGGAGCGTCGGCCAAGGTCGGAGCGTCGGTCGCTCCGCCGCCGGGGCCCCGGGTCGCTCCCACAGGTCACTTAGCATACCATCTGGGGAATTAGGATGAAAAGGATCCTAGAATAAAAGGAAACTGCACCATTAAAGAAGAACTGCAACAAGGCAACAAGGTAACGAAGTAACTTTTTGCGCGTGCGAATGGTTGGCGGTCTGCGAGACTGCGCAGGGTGGACTATCAAAGCTGTGCGCATCCAAGACAAGCTAGCGCGGGCGCGCGACGCGCGCTGCCACGCCGACAACTCGATCGTGCGATGGCGCAAGGAACGTCGCCGCCTGCGCGCAGCCTCTTGTTTCGACGTCTGGCCTTGCAACGCGCGTCCGATGCGCGACGCGCGTGCGCGGTGGGCGACGAGAGAGGGTCGGCGGAGGCGCCGCAGATTTTGCCGCTCGCTGGCGACTCTCGCGCGGCAGCCCCCGCTGTTCAACGGGCCAGGGCCGATCGGCGCGACCCGCCGCGCGGGAACGCAGAGGAAATCGGCAGGCTAGTATGCCTCCAGAAAGAAATCGGAACCCAAATCAGAATCACAAATCGAATCGAATCGGAATCGGAAGCCATCGAAATCTAATCGAATCGAATCGGAGGAGTCGAAACGAGCCCTGAGAGGGGGTGGGGGGGGCCGCTCAGAACCCTCGCCCATCGCCCTGCCGCCTCGCGCGCGCAAGACCGACGCGCGCCTCAATCGTCGACCGGCCCAGGGGACGCGGCGTCGTTGGCCGCGCGCTCGATGGCCCTCAGCGCTGCAAACAGGTCGTCTTGGGATACGTGTTTTCATGAGTGTGCTCGCCCTCCGCCCCCTGCCCCCCCCCCCTCCCCGCCCCCGCCCCCGCCTTGGTCTCCAACTCCTCTTCCATCAATCCATTCCCCCCACCATCTTCACCCCGTTCCCACATCATTCCTCTATCCTCCCATTCAGCCCCCCGCGTCCTCGGCCACTGGCGGTCGCTGCGCATTCTCGAACACCTCTCTGCGGAACAACGTGACCCCGTCCACCATGGCACTTGCGACCCCTGCCTCCATGCAACGATCAAGGTCGCACTGTTCTTCTCGGGCCCAATTCGACGGGCATCGAAACAGGCCAGGCCACGGATGCTCGAGTAGATGGGGGCTTCCTCGTGCTTTATATTGTGGTTCGTTATTGTGTTCGATCTCTCTCTCTCTCTCTGTCTGTCTCTCCCTCCCTCCCTCTCTCTCTCTTTTCCCCGCTTTCTCTCTCTCTCTCTCTCTCTCTCTCTCTTTTCGGTTGTTGTTATAGATACAAATGTCTCTCTCTCTCTCTCTCTCTTTTCTCTCTCTCTCTCTCTCTATCTCTCCTTCTTGTTTTCGTGCATGCCTGCATGCGTCTCTCTCTCTCTCTCTCTTTCTTCTCTCTCTCTCTCTCTATTTCTCCCCCGCCCCCCCTTTCCCCCCCTTGTCAGTTTCATCCTGGTGCCCCCATCCGTCTCTCATCGGTGCCTCTCCTACTTGGGTCCAGCTCGCACATGGGCCGCAGTTGGAACTCGCCGCCCTGTGGCCCATGGCCCTGCCACGTGACGCGCCGCCCGTTCGAAGGGCGAGAGAAGAACGTGAACGTTGCCCCTGGGCGGGGCTCGGGCGGTGGCCTCGATTGGCTCGCGTTGCCGTAGCCTCCCGACCTCGCGCGGCCGCAGAGACGGGAAGCATGGGTCAGCGGGGCGCGGGATGACGCGGGGGGCGCGGGCGGGTCGGGGAGCGGCGCGCAGCGACGACAGCACTGGGTCAACTTGCCGTCTGTCGCAACAGTCCGTTTCGCAACGGCCAGCGTCAAGCCAGCCTGCTCAACGGGGGCATCCGCGGCCCAGCGCCGCCCCAGGACAAGGCTCGCGCGAGACCACTGAAAGTGGAGGAGGGCGAGAAGGGCGAGGTCGACGACGGGGAGGATGAGGGGGGGCGCAGGAGAAGGCTGATGGGAGACGGCCTACGGTTTCATGGCGGTGGGGCGTTTGCGCAGATGTGATCGCACAGTTGTCTGCAATGGCTTAGGGCGAAGGATTCGTGAGAATAGGCAAATGCCCAGACACATGCATAATGTTGTTCGGATGTCGCGCACGCGCGTTTCGTGCATTATCACGTGTTCTGCGCACGTGAGCCTGCATGCATGTTTGCACATCGAGCGCGCCAACCACCACGCGCAATGGAAGTTACTGCAGTGCGGCGCATCATGGCACCCATGACTCGTTACTCACGACGTCGGCATATCGACCCGCTGATTTGGCACCCGCGCTCGCTAACAAGTCCCCCAACGCGCGAAGCGCAATCCAAATTTGTCATGCTGCAAACGGGCGACCCTTGCAAACGATTGGAAACAATCGAATCCCACTGAATATCGACCTTTCCCAAGTCGATCGGGGCGAGGCTGCCGCGGCAGCCAAAATCAGATTCAATGATTCGCCATGGAGTGTAGAATGCAGCTTTGGATTACCGCACGTTGATATGCGGAGTGTCATGCGCACAAACTAATGGCACGCCGGTATATCGTTAACGCCGGCGTCCCGCATGAGCGCGAGGTGCCGCGCGCGCAGGTCCATTGTGTGACACGGTTTGGGGCGATGTTTGCAACGTGTTCATATGCTCCGAAAGCGCTCCACCTGCTGCCAACAAAATCGGACCCGCGCCGAACTTGCGACTGTCGGTTTCGCACAACCGAACCGCCCACTTCACAAACGCGCCTATGTCAGCAGCCTTCGTCTACAACAAAACTGAGCCGGGCCCCCCGACCATTCCAACAGTAAGCGCGCTCAACTGAGCGCCCAATGGGGCCTCGTCATTCTTGCGGCGCCATGTTTTGTAACTGTTCAACTTTAACTTCAACGCTTCTTATTTCAATACATCGCTACCGCAACCCAGACCCCAAATGTTGGCGTTGAGAGCGCCGAACAGCGCTGCGCGAACAAATCGTGAGCACACCCCTAAGTATACGGCGCGCAGGGTGTCGGTGTGCAAAGTTACTTCTGGACTAGTTCCAATGTCACTCGAAAACGATGGATTCCGATGGTGCGTTCCGTTCTCGAGACGCCCCCTGACATCTTTGTTTCTTCTCCAAGTTATACATGCAAATGGGGTTAGGAGCTCCTCGAACGCACCCGTGTCTGGAACGTTGTCGCACGGTTCCAACCTGTCAGATTTTCTCAGCCCCAGCGCTGGCGCGTCGCGGGCCAGATGCCGACCTTGCGCCGCGCGACTTCTGTCGAACTGCAAGCCGCCAACGTCCACCAGAAGGTCCTGCGCGCGATCATCTGTCACGTCGATGTTTCTCTCGCAACGCTGACGCGCGCCATCGTGCCTAGTGCACAGCGCGGGCCCCATGCATGACAGCGCAAGCATGCGCCGTCGCAGTCGTAGAAGATGCTACAGCACGCCAGACGCAGGAATGATGGTGAGACGACCGCGTCGGCATTCCCAGCGCCTGCGTGCACTCAGCCCAATCACCATTGATTTGGCATGGCAAAAATATTGCTGCCATGTTTGGGCAAGCGTCAAACAACTCTTTGCTCCTACACTCGATCGGCCATGGCGCTTAAACCCCAGCGACACATCGGACGTCGACCAACAACTGCGGCAGCCAATCGCAAGTGAATGCGCGCGAACATGGGCCGATAAGTTAAACGGCCCCCACGCCCGCAATGGCGCGCCTGCTGTTTGGAGACAACGGCAACAAGGTGTTTCTTAAGTGCCTGTAAGTTGAACGCTGCGATCCCCAGCGCTGCATCACTTCTCTCGGGGCCGAGCGCACGAGCGTTCTTCGCGCCGTCGAGATGCACTGTGACTGGAAACATCCGCCGATCATCGCCCTCGATGACGCGGAACGGGCGGTTCCGATCTCTGACCGTTCTCCTGGCGCCGGGGGCAGTGTCCCCGTTGGTGCCGCGTCGAGCTTCTCCGCTTCAGCATTCAGAGCCTCGCGCGGTGGCGATGCCGCAATTTGTCCAGCGCCTCCCCGACCGCGCGGGCAAACTGGCACTGACAGGAAGTGGCGCTCAGGCGCTGCTTCAGATTCAAGGAGAACCGACCGGAGGTGCTGAGCGAACTTTCCCGTCTAAGCGGTTGGCGGGCGGGCGCATTGCGCAGGGCCCCCTCCTGTCGCGCCTGTCATGTGCAAAATGGCATGCCAAACAGAATGCTTGCGCATCCGAGCGCCCCACTTGCATGCTGTGACAGCATATGCTCTTCCAAAGCAAGAGCTCCTTGCTGGCGGTCTTCTGTTTGGCCGCGCTCCCATTCGCGAAGCCCCCGAACTCGCGGGCGAACGTCGCTCGCTGCAAACCTGCTGCGCCTCCGCTTCTGGAACTTTACCATTTGAGCTAGATGGCAACGGAAGCGGGGGCAAGGCGTTGACGCATCGTTTCGGGGCTGGCCCCCTCCTGCTCAGAACCGCATGAAACAGGGGGCGAGCTCAACAATTCGGGGGAAGGGTGGGCCTCTCCCGTCATCGCATATTACGCACGCGCGCATCTGCCAGTTTGCCCCGACGACGACGACGATGAGAACGACGACGCCGACGACCGCGACGACGATGACGATGACGAAGACGATGGCGACGACGACGACGATGACGAGTCAGGGGCGTTAGTAGCAAACGTATATCAGGGGTTGCCCAGGCGCGTCGCAAGCTTGTAATTAATATATGCTGCGACTTATTCCACGCAATGCGATTTTGGCTGGGCCTTGGGTCTCTGCTCGCGCGATCCTGCGCCCCCCCCCCCCGGCGCGTTCACTGGGCTGCTGACAGACGTTTGAAGCTTGGCGTGAGACTCGAGGAGATTTCCCCGTGCACTTGGTATCGACCTTGTTGCGTTTCTCTTCGGTCGAAGAGTCTCGGGTCTATGCGTACCTTCCGCTGCCATTGACCGGGGCCCGTTTTCGTTCAGACATTCGCGTCAATGGAGCGCTCCTCGCAGGTCTCCACTTCCTCAGCAACTTCGCATATAGGTCGTCTTTGATCCCACGCTGTGCGTCTGCCGGCACAGCCAGGCTACTGTCGTCGCGTTAGATCACGCAGTCGCCCGTAAATTGCCCACCCCCATGAGAACATCGCCCGAGAGCTGGCGCCCTGCCTGATGGCGGCGCTCGGAATCCTGATCCAGCGCAGAAATTTAGGCACTCCCATCGTCGGGGCAAGGCAGCAGCGGTCACCTTCAGCCCCGCCCAGGCTGGCGCGGGTGACATAGTCGCCGAATGCCGGCCTCTCTAATCATGGGCGTCCAAAAGGCGTTGCCCCTGCCCCAATACTTCTTTCCGCGTGGGCAGGGATGTCCAGCCAGGTGCCTCCAGCGTTGTCGCTTCTCCTTGCTCTTGCCTTTCCCCTTCGCCTCGCCCTTGTCGTTGCCCTGTGTGGGCGCGGCGCTCTTCTTCGCATTCTGCGCCGCGGCAGACATCAGGTCCTTGCTGCGCTTGTGTGTGTGGGGGGGGGGGGCTTTGCCTATCTTGTCCATGCGCGCCTCAGACTGATCGCTCGAGAGCTCCTCTGCCCGCGCAGCCTGTCCATGCTCGCGGGGGTACTTTTCGGAAGACGAGTGGCAGGCTCCACGGCTAGATGCATAGCGTAAGCCATTCGTCTTGGAGTTAACGCTGGAGGCGCGGCTTCGGGAACGATCGCAGTCCTTCCCAGCCCCTTGGGACCTATCAGAGGGGCGCTCTTGGCTCCTGCCGCGATCGCCATCCTTGCCCTTTCCACCGCCTTTCTCTTAGTCTTCATTCTTCTTTCCACTGCCCTCGCGGCCGCCCTTGCCCGACTGGGCAGGGGCAGCCTGTGCCGGAGCGGCGGGCCCCCCGCTTCCCTCTGAATGCGCGCGGGCATTTGCCCTGAAGGAACGTTGCGCGGCGCTGACTTCCTAAGGCGACCGTCTCTTCGTGTATAGATTATGTCCGCCGTTGCCGGCGCGCGCCCCCCCTCCTTCGCCCTTCTCACTCCCCGCGGGGAGGCCGCGGGAGTACAACGTTCTCCGCTGGTTTTCACGATTGATCTGCCCTCCTTCTGCGCGCGAAGTCACTGACCCTCGATGGCGACCGTTCGTAGGTCTTCATGCCAGCACCATAGTCATCGTTGCAATGATCGCACAGTACAAGGGTGAACTGCATGCACGGGCACTTTTGCATTCGGCGGTAGGAATGCCCCTGTGTCGCGGGGGGGACGGAGGCGACACATTCCTCCATCTCGTTTAGTGTCCTCACCCACTCATCATAGAAGTGGAACAGGTCGGCATCCGTCTCCTTGCCCGCGCCGCGGACCCTAATTTCCCTGAGTTCCGCGCACGCATGCGCCTGGCCATGATCCTGGCGGGTGGTCACATGCGCGGCAATGATGCGCAACATTTCACGATATTATATCGTGCTTCTGGCGGTATGCAAGGAAATGTCCAGTCTTTCGATCTCACTCGCAAGATGACGTAACTGTGAAGATGACTGCTGGGTTTTTTGACGATCTTGTTGACCTGTGTCATGAGGTCAGCTGCGATCATCAGGTCGCGCCGGGCGAAATGGCTGGAGGCCCTTTGCCCCTTCGCATCTACGCTTTCAAAATCAGAAGCGTCCGCGATCCAACTGACAGCTCCCTCGCAATTCGGCGAAGCCGGCGCCGCCGTCCTGACGACGTTGCGACGCCGCCGCGGGTTGTTGG